GTGGGGAGAGCTGGCACTGGGACTGCTAACAGCACTGTCATCCTGTCCCAGCAGGACGGTGGTCCCGTGCTCTCTGGGACCAGAGGCAGAAAAAGGGGGGGGGGTTAAAAAAAAAAAAAGAAAAGAAAGACTGAAGGCAGAAAAAGTGGGAAGACAAAATAAGCCATTGAAATCAAAAAGGAAATGCCTGAGTGAGATTTCTATCAGGAAAAGCAGTAGGAGGCATTGGGGTAGGCGTGGGGGAGAATAAAAACAAAGGAGCAAAATGTGCAGGGTAGTAAAGAAACAAAACAACCCAAGAATCCCTTGCAGGGGTAAACTACAGGGGAGGGAGCGGGAAAATATGGTTGAAAGGAGTTGAAAAGCGGGAACCACAGAGGGGAATCTGGGCTGGAACCCCCCTGTATCCTTAGTCTCTCACCCTGTCTCTGTGGAATTGTTAATTCCCTTCCTCCTCCTTGAGTCTCTTTTTCAACCCTCTAAATGCCCGAATTCCAGTTTCTCATAAAGGAAAGCAGCATGTTGTATATATGAGAGACGAGGTCCAAAGGAAGAAGATGCAGGATGAGAAGAACGCAGGCCTCCTGCCGCGTTTGCAGAACGTGCCACACATCTCTTGTCAAACAGCCCCCAGCCTGCTCTGAAAGGGCCTTTGGAAGAGAAATAAATGGCTGGCCGGTGTGTCTGGGAGAATAACCTCTCTCTCTCTCAGTTGGACTCTTGTTCAGGAGACGTCTTGATGGTGGCCCACGCTCTTTCCCCATAAACATCCAATGAGAAGGGGGCAAAGCGGAGGGGAGGGGGCTCGAAGGAGCAAGGGTGCAGCCAGCAAAGGCAGGATCTGCTCCAGCAGCAGACAGCGTCTATCTGCTGTGCACCTTGAAAAGAGCCCGCGGAGTCCTCAGAACTATTGCTATTAAAAGCTTCTTTACGGTCAGGTCGTTGAACAATTTTTCAGATTTATATTACAGGAAGCCACAGGGCAGATTCAAACCAAATTGTAAAATAAATAATTAGACCTTGAAGAGATTTGCACCATTTGATGATTAGGAGGAAAGTTGTTTTTTTTTTTTTAATCTTTGGCACAGTGCACACATTTTCCTTATTCATTTTTTCATGTACATGAATTCAAACTGCTCAGATTTTTTTTCTTTTTTTTTTTACTACTAAAATTCTCATGCTAAAGCCCAGCCTCACTGAGGCCTCTTGGAAAAGGCTGTTTATTTTCTTTGTCAGGCCGGAGGAATTGCAGAGTTATCACCATTACCAAGTTAGGAGAGACTAACTATTTTAATCAACAGAGATCCCACTAAGAAGGTGATTACAGTGTAGAGAAAGGGTAATGTTTTCTGTGTACTTGTCCCTGACTTCAAGACCACTATAATTTAAAGGAGTTTACATAATTTAAAAGAGATGAATGGCTCTGCAAAGATAGTTTTCAATTCCAAAATGCAAAGGTTGATATAAACTAAATAAGCAACTAAAGATAATAAAGACAACAAGCAGTTCAGCTGAAGTGCTTAGCTTTCCCAGAGCCAGGTGAATTAGCCTATAACAAAAGATTTCACATCCATATTCCTGAATAAATAGGAATGATGATATGGATATCAAGAATGAAACTGATAATGTTTATCAGGTTGATAAAAACTAATTTCAATAAAAATCAATTGCATTTGAGTTCCCATTATCCAGCTACAGCAGTAAAGTGTTAAAAATTGCCATCGTCAAAAATGTAGTGATCATTGGACTGAAGATCATAATAAGATTTTATTTTCTAACAGAAGAGACGAGTTGTACTTTATCTCCACTGTCTTTCTCCCAGTTCTCCCAGGTATCTACTGGCCAGTTAGGACACTGGTGAGGTAAGGAGGGTATAGGACACCTCTGGAGACCTTAGGAACTGTTTGCCTGGAGTAAAGTTAAGATAATTACTGTAAATCTTGAGGTGTTTTTTTTTCTCATGAGCATAAATATTAAACCAATTAATTTACAAAATCTAACCAAAATACTGGGAAAATGAGCACTCCTCCATACCCCAAAAAAGAATGACTTCTTTTGTGTCCATCAGTGTTGGCAGAGTGGTATTGTATGGCTCACCCTCTGCAAGAGACACTGCAGACTGATGAGAAACTACTAGTTTGTACTGGAATGTTAGGTTTTCATCGAAGGTCTCAGAGACCAAAGTGCCAGTTGAATTTGAATCCAGGCAAAGTAGTATATACTGATATACATTGGGGATTGGAAACTCCAATCCCCACAAGCTTGGGTTAAAGGTGATTTTAGAGGCTCTATTAGGGGAAAGAGACGAAGTAGGGAAAGTGAAAAGCCACAGTGTTAGAGTAATATCATCCTATTTCTCACGGTTCATGTCCCTGAGGAGACCCAGCTGAGGAGAGGGGTTTTGTTTTTATTTTTAGCATAGGTATATACCAAAATTGCACGGAATGTACTTGTGCTAAGAAAACATGTCGTGTATTTTTATTTGCTAAATCTGGACCCTAGCTTAGGATCCAGAACCAAAGGGGAAAAAAAACCCAAAAAACAGAAAAGCAGGGCTCCCAGGGATTCCAGGTGAGTTAGAAGTTCAGGATATTGCAAGGGTAGGATCATCATTTTAAATTAAAGAGAGTGGAAAGTAAGGGAATGTGGTAGATTAAATATGGCCACAAATTATTCACAGATCACTCCATCAAACGATGGAGTCTATTTCCTCACCCTTTGAGTCTGGGCTGGCCCTGTGACTCGTTTTAGCCAACAGAAGGCAAATGGAGATGACGCATGACTTCTCAGACTAGCCTCAGGATGTCGCCAGCTGCCATTCTCACCTCCAGGGACCCCAGGACCACAATGCTGTGAAGAAGCCTGGGATAAAAGACCAGGTGTAGGGAAATGCTCAGGTGCCCTGGCCTGCCAGGCATCCCAGCTGAGCTGAGTCTCAAACATATCAGATCCATCTTCAATACAGCCTTGTCAAAACAGGAGCTGACTGCAGTCCCAAAGTGAGACCAGGTGAGACAGTGAATACAGAGGGGAGCCTAGAACTGGAGAGGGGGTGGAGAACACTGCTTCTTCAGGACAGGTAAAGAGAGGGAGAGGGAAAGGGAGAAGGGTTGCTGGGTAGCACTGCCAAATCAAATAGATGGCAGGTGTCTTACCTAACTCCAGAGAAAGTAGGTGAGCACCAAATGGCTTAAGGTATGTGAGTAAGCATTCAGTTTCATTGGGTAAAGGGCAAACTAGAGAGAAAGGATTGGGAATGATCAAGAAGATGGCAACTAGGAGAGCTTTAAACCTGAGCTAAAGAAAAATAAAGTGACGGTATATAGCCAATGCTCACCTGAACCTCGTGCAGTAGAAATCCTAAGATATTTTCTTATTAAGGGAAAAATAACATAGAAGCATTGTGGCTTTATTCATTGTCCATAGTGCTAGAAGTCATCATGGGGGACCAAATAAACCTATGATGTGTGTGTGTGTGTGTGTGTGTGTGTGTGTGTGTGTGTGTGTGTGTCAAGTGGAAATTATGTTATCATTGCTTCCAAGTGTTGCCCAAAGAGGAAAGTTTTTAACCACAGGGGTAGGATAGTCAGGGAGTAGGAGCTGGAATGGCACAAGCCCCAGACCCAGCATCAAAATCACATCTTCCCTACCTACACTTGCCAGGGCAGACAGGATTGGGATTATCCAACCCACCCTGAGAAGGAGAAATAAATCCTCTAATCACCCCCATTCTCCTTTCACAGCCTTCCCTTTTCCTAAAACCCCTTTTTCCACTGTAATCTAGGCCAAGCGTTCAAGCAAACTCTTCATGGTGAGAAGGTACTGAAGACAAAACAAGGGCAGTCGAATGTGACTGACAGTCTAAAACCTTATAAGATCTTTGTAAAGATTAAATGATAGGATGTGCTTAGTACAAGCATTTGACAAATAATATGTTTTGATAAATGGTAGCCAGGTCATCTGTATGTAGCTTTACCATAGGACTTAAAACTTCTACATATATCTGTTTTAAATGTATTTGTGCACATGATCATATTTTTTTCTTCAGCCTGTTAGGTATTCCACAAATATTTGCTGAATGAATGACTCAATGAATGGAATAAGACATTTGCTGAATTGCACAAAAAAGAGGAGCAAACACGATGTGAATGTTTACTAACATGCTCACTGTCTACAGCCTGGATTTGGGCACAAAGAGAGAAGGCCACAGGCTCACCGTCAGGGTTCAAAGAAAGTCTCCCAGAATCTGTGTACCTACACCCAGCAGAGTTAGACTCTTTCCCTCCTTCTCACTTAACTGAAAAGCCAGGCACACGGCTTTCCCCCTTTGTTCCTGTTCTTTATTCCTGGAAATACTATGAACATGAGAGGCTGGTTGTAATGGTTGATATTTGGTAGTCACCACGTGTTTATGCTTCTAAAGGGCTTTTAGAGGAAGATGCTGTAGCACATGCTCCTTCCAGCAAATGATCTAACGCCAAATCAGAAAGCAGTCTGGGAGGTAGGACCTGCCCCAGGGAACACCATAGAATCAGGCATTTTCTAAAAGAATAAAGTATGACATGGGTTGAAAATACGCATGTGATTCAAACAGCAGAAAAAGAGAAACTAGAAAGAGGAAAATAATTATACTCATTAATCCTCAGAATGATGAACTACAAATATGAATTAGGTAGCTGATCCCAACCAGTTCATTTACAAAAAAGCTTTAGAAAAAGAAAGCGCATTTTAGCAGGTTGCATTTGTTTTTGTCCTTTATTATTTAAATTAATTAGCTAAAAACATGGCCTTTAAAGAGCTCAATATGAAAATTATTGCTATTCATTGCTTAGTTACGTGTCCATGTCTATAACCACAGGTACCTCAAATAAGCAGGGGAGTTGGCTGAAAGCTGGAACCATTTCTGCCGTTCTGAAGGTATCCTGGACAAAAGGCAACTGAACAATTGCAATCTATTTCATGGATAAGTGATCCTTGGTAAGTTCACCGTGCCTACTCACCGTGGTCAAGGATATATTTCACAATCTCCCCGTTGCCGGTTTTAGCTGCGTAGTGAAGGAGTGAACAATGGTCCGGTCCCTGAATTAGCAGACTGCCTCCATTTTTATAGCTTTCTATTAGCTGCAAGAGAGACATATGAAAATAAGCTCAGGCAGAATCCGGAACCTGGATAACAGCTAACCGGTAATAAAATAAGAGTAATGTAGCAAACCACAAATGTTTCTAACCTCAGAGGACACAGAGAAAAGTCAAAGAGATGAAGTAGCATTCCTGGACTGTATTATCACTCAGAGATGGCCAGTGTCTCTTCTAACTTCAGAGAGGGTCTGTGGGTATTGAGCAGCCTAAGGAAACTAAATCATGCTGAATTCCTTTTTCTCTTCTCTTTTCTGAGCACTAGTCTCTGTCCCAAGGGAGTGAGGGCTGGAGTAGAGAACAAAAGCTTCCCTGTGTTGGGGTGAGTGAAAGAATAATTATGGCTATAAATAGAAATAACGTGGTGTCTGGTAGCTGAGATCCTTGCTTATGTCCTTAGGTTTTCTTCAATCTCTAACGAACCTACCTACCAAATATCAAAGCTGCTGCTTCTTTCCCTGTGTAAGATCACTGCACACAGCAAACACACGCATGCACTCACGCATACAGCTCCCTGCTTCATCCAGATCTGCAGCCCAGCCTGCAAGCGGTCTGGTAATCACCCAACACATACCTAACAAGGCCAGAGGTGATCTGAAGAATGAGAACCAAGATGAGTCAAAGAATGTAGTAGTTTCTACACAAGAAAAGACCGGAGTTGGGGGACACCAGGATTTTGCAGCCTGAGAATTTGGTGGCTAAATGAGGATACAGTCTAAGTTCATGAAATATTGAACACTGTACAAAATGTAAATGAGTCCCTCTTCTTTAAACTTTAAACTTAGCAGGACAAAAGGAACCTCTGTGAAGCTTCCAAATGGTAGTTTTGGACAAATAAGAATCAAATAATCCAGCAGGTAATAAGCAGAAAGAACACTCTATCTCAAAAAGCTAGATGGCACACATTATACACAATCCAACATCCCATAGGATGAAAGAGGGTAAACTAAAGGAATAAATTATAGTGTTATATACCACTATAGGACAAGTATAGTTTAAAATAATATATAATTTCAAATGCTAGGAGGAGGATGTTGAATTCAAATGCTAGAAGGAGGAAGTTGAATGTTCATAACATTCCCAAAAATGATAAATGTTGGAGATGATGAGTATGCTAATTACCCTAATCTGATCACTATAGATTACATGTATCAAAACACCATGACATACCCCATGAATATGTGACAATTGTTCTTTGTCGATTTAAAAAATTAAAAAAGAGGGCAAACTCAAAGTTCATGCTTTCATTAGAATATGTCCATGGAACTGTCATGTGCCAGATGCCAGGAGACAAAGGTGAGTACAATTCTGTCACCAGCCTCAAAGCCCTCCCAGGCCAGAGGGCAGACAGACGTGAAAAGAATCACACAGTCTTGGAGAGAAACACCACAAGGTTCTTAGAAGGGTCCTGGGGAAGCATAAAGCAGGGGATGGGAAAGGAGCCACAGAAGACTTCCCAGGACATAGATCAAAAGAAGTACCTGAATGGAGGTAAGGAACATATGAGACTCCCACCCCTAAACTGTGAGACAAGAGGACAGGAAGAAGTAGCTAACAATTTCCACGAAAATCTAAGAGAATCCTGTTCTGCTCAATTGCATTGTCTCTTAGTAACACTCCCTTTCTTTGTGGGCAGATCCACAAAGGATAGCAGCATAGACCCAATCAGACCCAGTCAGTACCAGCTGCCTTGATCCTCCCTTTCTGTGCTGTTTTTAGAGACCATGAACATTAAGTTAGTCCACAGGCATCTCATGCTGCCCACGTACAGGAGCTACTCGCGATGGCCTCCCCACAGGGTGGCTCTTGGGAGCTTCTCTTCTCTAGTCTCCTCACCCAAACACAGACCCATGCAGCTAGTTTAATACATAATATGTATGTTTAGCTGTTAAAAATATAGATTAACACTATAATAGTATTAATAACATGGCTAACATTTTAGAGCCCCTTCTATGTAATAGGAACAGTCTCGAGAGCTTCACATGTAGCATTACATTCAATCTTCATGAAAAAACCAAAGACAGAAGTAATATTATTATCCTGATTTACAGATGAAGAAACTGAGGCCCAGAGAGAATTAGCTAACTGTACAAAATCACACACACAGTGAACAGCAGAGCCAAGATCTGAATTCAGACAGTCTGACTTCAGAATTTACTTTCACTCTTGAGGTGGTAGTAACCATTTCCTTCTAAACTAAATTCCCCAGGAAATATAAGCACAAATGAAACTGTTCAAAGTGGATCAGACAGAGTAACTCCTTCTGGTTAACTGTGATCCCCAAAGTATAAAACTATAAAATGGAATACGTAAGCTCTGGCCTGAAGAATGCACTTCTGGGTGTTGTTGTCCAGATAATTCTTACAGATGCATTCATTTCAATACTATCTGAAAATCTGAAAAGAAATCTTTCAATTTTCAGATGTCAGCTTTTAGAGAGCAGGAGCTAGGGTACTATGAGCACTGCCTCCTGGGACATGTGGTCCATTTTAACTAAGGTGGGCAAACACCATGGTTCTCCTGCACACTCCCTTTGGTGTTACAAAATGCACAGCTACAGTGACGCCTTCCCTCACCCTCTCTGCTCAGTTCTCAAAAGAGCATCCTTCCTCCTCTAGTCTGCCAGTGCAGGCAGGGGGATGATAAATTATATGTGGGAACATGAGAATTTGGGCAGGGAATGATGCTGATTTAAGGTTCTTAAAGAATCACCAAAGTTTTGGTAGAAGGATATCTTACCTTCATAAGATCACCAGCTATTACTGCCTGCAAAATTGCTGTGAAAGACAAAAGAGAGATGTCCCATTAGTAGAAGACCCCTCTCATTAAAATGTTACAAAAAGTTGGATCCATAATTTGGAGAACTAGTCTACATTTGGGGCAGAAACCAGGGAAAGAGAAAATCTTGGTCAGGTACACTGAGGCCCCCTCTCCAGCCCTTCTCTACCCAGGTGCCCATCCCATATGTCCTTCTGCAGCCTGTGTGCCCCTCCAGCCCGGCACAGCAAAGATAACATGGAATTTGAAGTCATACAGATTGGGCTCAAGACTTAGCTCTGATGCTTAAAGGCTGTGGGACACTGGGTGAATCATTTAACTCCTCTGAGCCTCAGTTTCCATATTTGTAAAAGAGAAAGTTTAAGCCTTGTAGAGTGGTTAAAAGGATCCATGAAGTCCTCTGAATGTTTCTAACCCAGCCACTGATGCAGAGTGGGTGTCTAATCATGACTACACTTGCTTTCTTCTTTTGGGCTATGAATATTAAGAGGACTACAGAGACAGCAAAGAGGAAATAAAGCTATTTAATTGTATTCTAGAAAAAATAATCATGTAATTGGCATCTAATTCACTGGTAACTCTTATGGGAAGAAAGCTAAAGGTAAAAGGTGAACTGATATGTAGCCTTAGAGGGGAAAATAGAAGTGTCTAATGGTTCATGCATGTCATGTGGGGTGCAGAAGAGTGAGAAAATATGACTGATGAAATGGAAAAAGAATATATGAGTGCCCAATGGCAATTATGGCTCCTAAAGGGAACTATTTGCATCAGGTTGAAAACAGTCCTTTTAGAAAAATACTTTGATTTTGAAGCCAATAAAAAAAATAGATTATTTTAAGGCTTTGAAGTCACAAGGTTTTAGGAGAAAAATAATTTAAATGTATTTTGCAAAGTGACATTGTATTCTTATTTGAATAGTCCTTTGTATAGAGTTAGCCAAAAGTGCCGTATAATGTGTCAAAGTACGCGGAGGCCACGGCTGCCCCTGAGCAAAACCCTCGAAGCTTCTCCGCTGAGCCTTCATGAGTCCTGGGTGAGCAGATGCACAGGACCGTACGCAGGTTAGCCGCTCACTGGCCCAGGGCTGAGTGGAAACCTATGGAAATGACGAGGGCTACCTGAGCATGGGAGGAAGGAGGAGGCAGGAAGAAGAAGAATGGAGAAAAATGGAGAACAGGAAAGAGAGGGAGGAAAGCGTCTCGCCATAACAAGCTGTTAGCGAGACCCTCTTTTCATCCCCCGGGGTCCTGGCGCCGTGCTGTGCACACTGCAGATGCACACCAATTAGCCGCTGAACTGACTGAGAAGAAAGCAAAGAAGGGAAAAAAAGTGAGAAAGCGGGCAGACAAAAATAACAGAAAGGGAATTAATAAGATGTTATGTGTCAGAAGAACCTACTCAAACATGGCGTCTCACTCCTCATTCGATAAATGGGGACAGTGGGGTGTGCAGTGGAGCGAGTCTCGCACGGGGCCACAGAGGCCAGTGAGCACCGTCACACAGGCCCGTGCCCGCCTGAGCTCACTGTGCACACAGCTCTCCTGGGCCCCGGAGGGCCCGTCGACGGAGAACACCACTGCCAGGTTTGTAGTGTCGTGAAAAAGCTGTGGACTGAAGTGTGACTCTAAACTCTGTCATTTACTGGACACACAAATCTAGAAAGTTGTTTCATTTGCAAATGAAGGTAACTAACACCTGCGCTGCTCACCTCTTTGTAGTGAGGATGCATTTTTAGAAAGTGCTTTATAAACAGGTGTGCTGTATGAATAGAAGGCATAGTTTCCGGTACTTTTGTGACTGTACGTAAGAACATGAAAGAGACATATGGCCATTTCATGAGCCTACTGATGAGGGTCGCGTTGGCACGTGAAGTGGAGCAGACGTATCTGTGTAAATATGCGTCCGTCAGAGGAGAGCACAGACAAGGGAGCCGACGGGATGGGGTTTAACCCAAGACATGAATCCCACATCAGAGAAAGGGAAGGAGGGGCTGGAGAAAGTACAGCCGGGCCTCCACATCCTTGGGTTTGGCATCCACAGCTCCAACCCAACTCAGATGGAAAATATTCAGAAGAATATGGGAAGTTGTATGCAAAGCCAATTCCATTTTATATCATGGACTTGAGCATCCTTGTATTTTGGTATCTGCAGGGAGTCCTGGAAACAATCCCAGGGGATACCGAGGGACAACTGTACCAGAAGTTGCAGATCTGAGAGCACAAATCAGGTTAGACTTTATGCTACAGCAGCATGTTCTTTTGTCTGAAATAGACTATCCATATGGAAAAAGAAATCGAGAACGGTTAACGCAAAGCCTTGTAACTCACACAGAAGTTCAAAACAGCAGCACAGCCTGTGTTTTCAAAGCCATAGTGAAACATTTCTCAGAATTTAAAAATTAGAAAAGAGAGGGAGGGAGGAAGGGAGTGGGAGGGAGAGGGAGATAGAGAAAGAGAGAAATAGAGAAAGAAGAGAGAAAAAAATGGATTCATTAACTTAAAGCACTTCCGTAATAAAATTTGGTGCATGCAAGCAATAAAGTAAGATGATGAAAGAATTCTCCAAGATAAAGTCTATTTAAGGACTACTAAATAAATAATAAATACAGGAAAGGCTGAGTGAAAACTTATTGGTTAGATGTAGAGTTCAAAGAAGGCTTCTTGGAACAGGTAAAGTTTAAGCCTACTCCTCTATGATAAGTGGAATTAATCAGCAGAGAAGGTCTGGAAAATCCTTGCAAGATGAAAGAAGGCTATGAATAAAGACATGGCAATTAAAAGTCATGCTATCTGAGGGAACCTGAAAAGAGCTCTGCATTGTCACATCTGAGGAGGAGAGTGGTGTCAGGTAATATGCTGCTGAGTTTCACAGGAGCCACTTCAGTGAGTACCTCTTATACCACGATAAGGTACTTAAATTTTATTCTCGTGATGAGAAGCTATTGAAGAGTTACAAGTAAATCAGGGGAGCATATCAATGTCCTTAAGCACTCCAGTGTGATTCTGCTTTTCCCCTTCTGGGAACAGAGTTATGTCCTGCTCCTTGCTGCTTTTCTCCAGATAGCCAACATTAAGCCTCTTTTAACTTCTACCCCATATCATTCACAAGCATTGTAATTCATTTTTGTTGGTTTCCAACAGCCTCCCAGTTTGAAGTCCCCATGAATAGGTAGAGGATCATATAACAGAATCATAACCACAAATAATTTCCAATTGTACTGGATGTGGAGAGCATGAATATTTATTTTTAAGTCAAGCATTCCACCCAAGGGTAGCTATTATGCAAACATTATTAGGAACAAGGCCCTTCTCTCTCCTGATTAATGTCCTTCCCTATGAATACTGTTGTTTAAGATTTCCTCTGCATAAATAGAGCCTGAATCCATTAGCACTCAGCTCCAGATAATAACCTTCTGAAAGATCAAGCTTAAAAACAAATAATGAGTTGTTACGATTACAATATTATTCTTTATAATTGCTTGAGCTCTGAGCTCACCTTCTTGCCTTTTCCAAAACTCCTTCATACTAAAGAAACAATGCTCCAAAATTCAAAGAAGAAAGGGCAGTCAAATTGGTAATGGGACATAAAGGTTATTCACTAGATGAATAATAAGTTTCCTGGAAAATTAAATCACAGAAACTTATGTAGTAAGACAGGAATGTAAAGGAGTAGAGAACTGAGAAATCTATCATTTTTAGAGGTTAGAAGTTGAGTCATTAGTCCACATAAAATGGTTTATTTTCCTTCAGTACTACATTTTCAAGTAATCTGCCGTCAAGCACATATCCCAAGATAGAAATGGGAGACTGAGAAGTCAGGACTGGCAGGAGGGAATTACTGACTTCCTTCTCACAGCCTCTCCTTCTTAGGCCTGGATTCCTGAAAGTCTCAATGTGCTCAGACATCCAAGCATAGAAGGAAAAGATGGCTTCTATCACTTGCAATCAGGAAAGGGAAGAGCCAGTTGCTATCAGTTGAATGTTTGTATCTTTCCAAAATTCATGTTGAAACTTAATCCCCATTGTGGCGGTGTTAAGAGGTAGGGTCTTTTGGAAAATGATTAAGCAGAGTCCTCATGAAAGGGATGATGCCCTTTTATAAAACAGCCTTTAGTGAGATGCCTGCCTTTCCATCTCTTCCTCCATGTGAGAACACAGCATTCCAACCCTTTTTGCTTTTCCACTATGTGAGGATGCCACAGGAAGGTGCCATCTTGGAAGCAGAAAGCAAGCACTTTCTGGACACCAAATTTAGTGGCACCTTGATCTTAGACTTCCCAGCTTCCAGAACCATGAGAAATAAATGTCTATTGTTTATACATGATCCAGCCTAAGATAATTTGTTAGAGCAGCAGGAACAGACTAAAAGCCCCTCTAGTTCCCCCCCAAACCAAGCCCCCTTCCAGGTGGTGAGGATGTAGCAGTGCACAAAACAAACTTCATCCTCTTACAGAGCTTACATTTTGGCAAGAAGTCATGAAATCTGGCTTAATAATTAGGAAGAGACATATTGTAACTGAATCTAGATTCAGACTGCCCAGGTTTAAGTCCTGTGAGTGCCATTAACTAGTTGGGACCTTGGGTGAGTTAGTTTCTCAAGCTTCAGTTTTCTCTTTTAGAAAAATGAAGATTAGAAACAGTTCTTTTTTTGTTATTAGCAACTCTCTGCCTTGCTAATAAGCTCAAGGCACAGAGAACCTGATCATCTGTGGTAATCTGTGTAGAATACCAGGGAGTATTGAAAAGTACAAAAAAAGAACCATTCTAGACTAAGGTAGAATTTGGCCTACAACTACCTCTGAAGTATGGTTCAAGGTGGAGATTCTTGATTTGCAAATGAAAATATTTAGGAATAAAAAAGTATTCAGAACTTGGTAAAATCATATATATGTGTTTGTGATTCTCAAAAAATCAACAGAAATAACTACATTATTACACATAAGACAGAATCACAACCTTGAGCTCTGATGTCTAATTTTAAAAGTTTAATCTTTCAAGTT